TCTCCACGCTCCACCTTCTCCAGCTGCGAAATGTATCGACTCAGCGTCGGGTACTCCTGGATCTCGATCTTCCTCCACAGGTAAGGTCGGAGTCCAGCAATGAACTTCTGGATCCTCGACGCCTCGGTAGCGTTTTTAACCTTCTTTAATAAACACAGATTTTTAACCTTTATAATATCTTCTGCTCGGTTAATTATATTCTTTGCAAGTGCTGCGTTTTGTACTAAAATAATCATCACGATTCAAGAGGTCGGCGAATGAAATTCATTCAATGTTAACGTATATATTTCTTTTCATATATGGATCAACGCGACAAATTCAGACTTACAAGAAACAAGAAGACCTATAAGGCTATAACTATAGTTCTTGGACCATCATCAATGGCGAAGAACAGGAACAAGTTCGAGAGGTACTTTCTTCACGACGGTGAGAGCACCTGCTTCTTCAACATCAATGTCTTTCTCTGTCATTCCTTCTGGCAGTTTCCAATCGAAGAAGTAAAGCAAGTTTAGTAACCCTAACTCGACCGTTGCAATCCCCATCGGCATTCCCGGACAGATCCTCCGACCAGATCCAAACGGTAATAACTCGAAATGTTGCCCCCTGAAATCTATGGAGCTATCCATAAACCTCTCGGGGTTGAACTCGTTAGGGTTTGTCCAAATTTTAGGATCTTGTCCAATCGCCCAAGTGTTGATTTGGAGCCGAGTCTTTGGCGGGATATCGTAACCTTGGATCTTGATGTGAGCCATTGTTTCTCTCGGGAGTAAAAGAGGAGCCGGCGGGTGTAACCTGAATGTTTCCTTCACTACGAGCTTCAAGTAATGAACCTTATCAAGATCTTCTTCCGTGATTCTTTCCTTTTTGCCAAGACAACCTCGGACCTCGTCCTGAACTTTCTTCATCAGCTTTGGCTTTCTTGCGAGCTCAGTCATCGCCCATATCATGGTGATTGCGCTCGTGTCTATTCCCGCGACAAATATGTTCTGATCACAGACGGAAACTTTTAAAACCTCGTACTTTCAACGTATAAATATTCAAACGAAAGGAAAAACACTCGTTACACTTACAGCGAGAATCGCCTTGATGTGATCTGTAGTGAGCCAGTTGAGAGAATGGTCTTTGCGTTGGTTCTGAATCATATTTAGCATCACATGAATGATATCTTGGTGTTCTTGCGTTGTTCTTCCAGGCTTCAAATGATCATCTATCACTTTCTCCAGAAAAGTATCCAGTTCCAAGCAAACCTTCCCCAGCCTTTTATGTTGCCCGGACAACCAGTCGATGAACCACCCGACATTGCTGGGGAACAGATCCGAGCAAGTCAGATCGGCGGCAACTGTCTCGACCTCAAGCACGAGTTGTTCGATCCTGTCCTTATGGATGAACTTACTCTCTTCGAAATTCACTCCAAACGCAATCTTTAGTATGATACTCGCAGTGACTGAGAAGAGGGCTTTGCTCAAATCCACTGGAGATTGTTTCTCAGCTGATTCAGATAGTTTCTTGACCAACACGTTACACTCTTCCTCTCTGACGTGCCGGAAAGACTGCACCTTTTTCATGCTGAAGACTTCACGCACTGCCAATTTCCGCCGCTCTTTCCATTCGGGGCCGTATTCCGTGAAAGCGATGTCGTGATAATTATAGGAGAATCCTCCAGTCGCCAAAAGCTTAGGTCGGCTGCAACACTCCAAATCATTTGTCTTAAGCACTTCTTCAGCCGCCTCGCTCGACGAGATTATGACAACCGGGGAAAACCCGAAGTGAAGAAGCATCACTGCTCCGTATTTCTTGGAGAGCTCGTGAAGAGATCTGTGAGGCAATTCTCCTCCTCCGAGCTGATGCAAGTTTCCGATGATCGGAAGCTTTGGAGGGCTCGAAGGAAGCTTCCATTGCGAGTGTTTGGCCTTCTTAACGAAGAGAGAGGAGACGAAAGCAATGAGAAAAAGGCAGAGAAGAGCGAAAAAGATCGCCATTTTTCTTTCTGTCGCTGATTTTTGAATGGGTTTAACGTTTCAGTTGATCAGAAATGAAATGAAGTGTGCTTTATATAGGGTTTCGGCGGCGTGTTACTTCTGGTGACGTGTTACTCACGGCAACGAAAAATTATCATAAGAGTTTTGAGACAGATCTTGGTTTCGAACTGACAACAACGTTAAATTTACTTTTCAGTTCCACGTATAAAGATGTGACCATTTTTTTTTTTTAAAAGTCAAAGGACGTCGGCTTGGCGATTAAGCTCGTTGAATCCTAACGCTTATTACCTTCATGTCATTATCAGTTAATTACCTGTAACCTCTTTCAAAGTACCCATCAATTTTGTCCATCTTTTGAACTCTAAATTCGTATGCTGCTTAATCTTTGATTACGTGGCTTCTTTCTTTCTTTTCTTTTTCCTTAACTATGAAAGGTGAGTATTTATGTGTATATATGCGCGTGTCTAATTGTAAGATATCAGTTATGTTATGTTTTATTATTAAAAAAATAGTGTATAATAGCTATTTTTAAATCAAATAACTGATGAAATAAAACGGGTCCACACCAAAAAGAAGTTGCATGGAAATATGCACTCCAAAACTAATTTAGGCTTTATTTTTTTTTCAACTCCTTCACAAATTCTGGTGATAATATAATGAGATTTGACATTTCCAAATTTCGATGTTAATAATTATCTAAAAAAACTAAAAGAAAACGGATGTTTTATGAGAATCCTGTGATATTTTATTAATAACCAAATAACATATAAATATATATGTTACTATATCAAACTAAATAAATAAATTAAAAATAATATCAAATATTTATAAATATTTATCCTCCATATTTGATAAGATGTTTATAATACGATATATCTCACAATATTTTTTAAAATCCAGTATATCTCAACATCCTCTCAAATTGCAGTGTGAAGATCACTAACCGTCTAACTTGTTGAGAGGATGATCAAAAGTGTGAATATCACTAAACGTCTAACTTGTTGAGAAGATGATCAAACGTAGACTATTTGAACCGATCACCATATGAATCTGTGTCAATAAAAAAAATAAAAAAAATCAAATGAACGATTGCAGTGCAAACTGATAATAATAAATAAAAGAATCGTTTGATGATACCAAAAAACGACAATTGTGGTACGAAAATATATCCCGAGAATAACTCTGATATATTCAAGATTAGAAAGCAAACTACATGAAAACATTTAGCGACAATAAATTTTCGCAAGAAGATGATTGATAGTTGTGACGAATAATCTTTTAAAATACGGAGATTATGAAAAAAAATAAAAAATTCAAATAACTCTCTTATTTTTAATAAAAAAACTCAAAATGATATTAACATTGTATCGATATATCATCATCGCTCTCAATTGTCAGTTATCATTGATTTATGAAAGAAGCTCGGATGTCATAAAGAAAAATAAAATATAAAAATTAATAAGAAAAAAAGAGAAAAAGAACCAAAATCATTTCATTGTTACATCTTTTCTTTTTATTATATTACATTAAAAATAAGGATAAAATCCATAAAAAATTTCCGAACATAGAAAATGGTGGAAAATAAATTGTTAAACTTTTCACTTAACAAATTTATTCGTAAACTTGTAAAATATATCATTATAATTCCTAAATTTATAAAATGTGTCATTCTAATTCTCAAATGTATTAATTGGTGTCAAACAAAAATTCGACAAAATTGATATATAAATCAATTTAGAATTATAATGACACATTTTGCAAGTTTTTGAATTATAATGGCATATTTTGCAAGTTTGAGAAAATGTAGAACAAAAAATTTAGAAATAAGTTTTCTATCATTTTATGAGTTCAGAAATTTCTTATTATTATTATTATTATTATTAGGGATAATCCCAAAAAAACACCGAACTTTTCAATTTTGACAAAAAAAACACCGAACTTTTTTTTGGTCAAATAAACACCAAACTTTTTTAATGAAACAAAAAAATACCTGAACTCTTTGTCGATTGACAAATTAGACAAAATGTGCTGATGTGGCATGCGAAACTGTAAACGTGGCGTCTGAGAGGTTATTTCGTTTTGCCACGTCGGATTACACGTCAGAATCAATTGACATATAGACAAAATCGGTTAAATAATTCGGTATGGAATAAACCGGTGCAGCGAACCAATTTAATGAAAGAAACCCTAAATTGGCTCATTTATACCAAAAATCGAATCGGATATGTAAAATCCCTAACACCATCGACAAAGCTCTCCTCTTTCACCAAAATCCCAGATTTTCTGAGAAATCTCTTCTTCCGCTTCATCAGAGAAACTTTGCATCCCGAAAACCCCTCTTCTTCACTCTCTTCTTGGAGTTTCGCATCGCTTTATAGGAGAGAGGAACAGAGACACATCGACTTTTTGTTGTAGAGGAGCTTGGATAGGTTCTTCTCCAGGTAAGTATTTCGTGTTTGAGTTAGAAAATAGGTGTTTGGGTACTTGGATAGACATTATTTAGTGAAAATTTTGCTTCGATTTGAGAAGTTTTTTCTGTCTAAGTCGATTTTCTGATTTAGGGTTCGATTGAATACTCTTAATGGAGGAACGAGATGATTTGTCAGATGATCAGAGTGAAGAGCAGAGTAGTTATGAGGAATGTGATAGTGTGGAGAATAATAATGTTGATGATAATAATGATAGTTGTTGGCATGATGATGAAGGAATAGACGATCAGTTATTCCAAGTTGATGAAATGAGGCAAAATCAGGATAATGTGATAGATGAGGATTATGTGAATGATGATGGTTATCCTTCCACTCCAATGAATACAGAAGATGAGTGGAATCATTTTGATATCGACATGAAGCAAGAGAAGGGATCGATAATAGAACCATCCAAAGTTACAGAACTTTGTGTTGGTAAAATGTTTAATTCTGGTGCTGATGTTAAAGCTGCATTGCTTCAGTATGTGTTGTCGAAAAAGTTTAACGTGAAATTAGATAGGAGTGAAAGTAAGAAATTGATAGCGGTTTGTACTCATGAAGGCTGTCAATGGAGAATTTATTGTTCAGTTGACGTAACATTGGACAAATGGGTTATCAAGACCTATTACCCTCACCACAGTCATATCCCAAATGGAAAGGCAAAGATGTTGAAGATGAGACAGATTGCCAACATGTTTGTAGACAAGTTAAGGAGAAACCCCGGTTATACGGCAGCTGATATACAATATGATTTGCAAACTGAGTACAATTTGACAGTACGGAAGACTATATGTTATAAGGCTCGTCGTATAGGGTTGGGAATCGTCATGGAAGATCAGAAAGTTCAGTTTGGTAAGTTGTGGGATTATGAGGCAGAACTGCATAGATCCAATCCTAACATAACAACAGAAATTTGCACCAAGACTGAGCGTGGAAATGAAGTGTTTGACAAGTTCTATATTTGTTTCGAGGTGCTAAGAGAGGCATGGAAACAATATTGTCGTCCTGTGATAGGCTTGGATGGATGTTTTTCGAGATGGAGTTTGAAAGGAGAGTTGCTAACAGCGGTTGGCATGGATGGTAATAACCGTATATATCCAATCAGCAAGGAGAGTTTCAGTTATAGCAGGACTGAAGGAGAAGACAAGTCTTTCGATATGAGATCCCTGAAGATCTTAAATAGATCTAGGGTTTATAGAAATCGGTTTAGTGAACCGGTTTGAATTTTCGAGTTAAATTTTAACCAATCTCTGATTACCGATTTTGTCTACGTGTCAATTGATTCTGACGTGTAATCCGACGTGGCGAAACGAAATAACCTCTCAGATGCCACGTTTACAGTTTCGCATGCCACATCAGCACATTTTGTCTAATTTGTCAATCGACAAAGAGTTCAGGTATTTTTTTGTTTCATTAAAAAAGTTTGGTGTTTATTTGACAAAAAAAAAAGTTCGGTGTTTTTTTTGTCAAAATTGAAAAGTTCAGTATTTTTTTTGGGATTATCCCTTATTATTATTATTATTATCATCATCATCATCATCATCATCATCATCATCATCATCATCATCATCATCATCATCATCATCATCACATCTAAATTGTGTCGAAATATTGTGAATGCCAATAAAACAAATTCCAAAAAATATTATGTTTATACTTATGTCAATCATCAAATCCTTTGTATTTTTGTTTCCAAAGTTATCTCCATATTGCATAGAAAATAACTCAAATATTTATATAAAAATTAACAAATGAATTAAAAAAATATAGATGTAATAAAAATAAATAAAATATACAATATTTGACATAATGTTATATCTATTATTATTTTCAATTATATATTAAAATCTATATATTACTCTAATCATATATTCATTTTTCTATTTCAATATTTCTCTTCAAAAACGACTTTAAAAAATAGAAAAAGTCAATATTGAAATGAGAATGTGAAAAAAAAAACTCAGACATTTTCATTGTATTTGAAAAAATCTATAAACATTAAATTTTGTTCTCTTGAAAAGAATTACCCATTTTTAAATTATTTCACTTCACTTTGAAGTTCTATATTTACGATACAATATATTTTAAATATTTATTCTCCATATTTGATAAAATATTTACGAAACAATATATCTCGTAATATTGTTCAAGATATAATAAAATATTCACATCAAATAGAAAGTCACAATAAAATTAGTATAACACTCTAAAATTAGTATACGTTCTATATTTTTGAACTCCTACATGAACTATGGTAATGTGTGAGATTGGAAATATTCTAATCTCGATGTCAATAGTTATTTCATAAACGGTTGTTTAGTCTTCAAATTTCACCAATAAAAATAATAACGCATTCTTGAAATTTAGCGTATGACTTCAATAATCAATATGAACTACTTAATTCTATAAACTCTGTGTTTAAAGGTAGTAATTTGTATTAATAGTAGAAAATATATGTGATAATGTTCTCAACATATGAGTTCCTTGAAAAATCATTTATGTAAACTAAATCGTGAGAGAAACGTGTGTATTACATTCGATTTTATCTAGATATTTATATTAACTAAATAAATATTTGAGAATTTATTTTTTTACCTATAAATATTTATTTTGAATAACCAAAATCCAATAATTCTCTGTTTGTTTATTAGAGTCTACACCACTAAACGTGGTGAGTATCTCTAAGTCTGACTTCAATCTCTAGAATATTATGATAATATTAGATCTGATTTTATCTAGATATTTCTATCGATTAAATATATTATTTTATTATTGGAAAAATCGTATATAAATACCTGAAATTTTGCAAAATTTTCACATAAATATCTGAACTATAAAACTTCCATATAAATACTTGATTTTTTCAAAACATCCATATAAATACCCAAACTTTTAAACATCTCCCAAATCAAACCAAAATTCATTAACAATGTTTAATTTGTAACGGAATCCGTAAAAAATTGATGACTTAACATTCGGACATGTTAAACACCGTTAATAAATATTGTTTAATTTGGAAGATTTTTAAAAATATGAATATTTTTATAGAAGTTTTGAAAAATTTAAGTATTTATATGAAAGTTTTATAGTTCATGTATGTATTTGGAAATTTTGCAAAAATTCAGGTATTTATATACGATTTTTTTTATCTATCAATATTGTAATGTTTTATACTTAATAATAAAGAAATCAACTTCTCTTATTTCTCTATTATATATATAGAGAGAGAGAGAGAGACGTAAAAGTACAATATGCTAATTAAATTGTTATTTCTCATTCGTGAGTATTCATGCTCATTCTCAACCTTCTATATATCGTATCTTAGAAAAAAGTTTGAATTTAAAATGTCAACCCAAGTAAGCATCGTTGGAAGAGCTTTCATGTGCCATTTTTTTTTCCACGATGAAGAAAATGAATTGGATTGTAAAATCCATAATTTCTTTCCTTTTTTTTTTTGGTAGAACTCGTAAACTTCCTCCTTACATTTAATTAAAGGGACCATTTGTACAGATGTGACTAAAAGTCTAAATTTTCGTTTGATCGATCAAAGGTGTCACGTCATCTTCATGTGTAAATTGTTTTGTTTCTATAACAAGGGTAAAAGGTAAGTTCAGCAAATCTTTAGTCCAACTATATCTCTCACAAAGATTAGAAAAATATGAGTAAATGTCCTTCCATGCGTTTAGATTTATATCCAGAATAAAAGCATAGTTTGTATGTTTTTTTATACCAATAGACGACCATTCGAGTTTAGATATTTCATGTGTAAAATTTGATTACGTGTGGAGGTGATGTGACATCTTTGATCAGACGAAAATTTAGGGAAAAAAAATGGACAGCCAATGTAGTAAAATTCAAACAACATGATATATGAGAGAAGAATAGTATCAAGGATATATAGCATGCGTCTAATTGACAAATCCAACCACCTAATTATAGGGGACACGAAAAATAATGGTTCGATTCTTTTGTATTTAAATAATACAAATTTTGTTCAAATATAAAAACAGAAATTAAGCAGTTGAAGTCATGTTATAATCGTAATAATATTATTTTTGTACGGTTAATATCGGTAATTGCCTCTTACTAATGACAATACAACAGATTGAAATATGTCATAATGAAAAAAAAAATGAAAGCATGCCATAATTAATTCCACATCAGCGGTTATGATGAAATGAGACAATTCCACATTTATCATAATTTTCTCAACTCAATGAGTTTGGCGTTCAACTCAATGAACGGTAACTTTCACGATTTTTTTTGTGTGGGTAAAATAGCTTTTCACGATTTTATGATCACTTTGACGAAATCGGTTGAATTATAAATTTTCTTGCCGGGTACTGATTTGTCCAACTTGATGATGCTCCTACCATTAAGATTGATTTCATTTTCCATCTACAATTTCAAACGAATTTATGGGAGATAGACTCATATCATATATCATATTCCACATCACATTGAATGATATATTTTTTTTATGTTGTTAACTCGAAAGTTCGTCAATCCTTCGGCCCAATTACGTCTTTCAAGGTTCGGAGGCAGTCTGTGTACCACTTGAATACGAGACTTGGAATAAGGGCACTCAAATCTTTCTCAACACCGATTGGGTTCAACCATTCACCTTGTTGAGCCTCTTTGTTGAGCCTCTTTTGTTGTCCGGACATATATTGATGACCCATATGATACCGTAAGGAACGAAGTCAGGACTTGAACAGTTTCGGCCCGGAACACGAGTTCTTCCCATCCTGTCCTTATCCACAAACTCGATCTCGAGAAAATTCTGTCCGGAAACATCTCTAAATGTAATAATCTAAGTGAGAGATTAAGAGGGTCTTGTTCAAATTCACGAGAGATTGTTTTGATTGTTTTGATTTGAATAGAGTTCCTTGACCAATAAGTTATATTCTTTTACGCGAAAGACTGCGCCTTTTCAGGCTGAAATATTCGGTTGCCAGGGAAGCCCCTAGCTCAGTTGGAAAGTGACTACCCCTCTTTACCCAAGGTGTTGGATGTCAAGCTTCTCCTGAACCGGTCACCTTCAGTTGGTTTACCTACTCTGCATGGTTTGCCGACTGTTGCATAGGGTTGTGGGAGTTTACTGTCTGCGATGTTGTCATTCGTCCGGCCCTTCGGGGAGAGCTGTAAAGCGTTTCGGTGTCCGACCCAAAAGACTGTAGGACAGGTTCTTCAACGGAAAAAAAAATGGTTGCCGACATGCATATGTAAACTTGTCTCTTGCTGGGTGTGTATTAATTATAAATAAGGAAAAAATACCTGAAAATTTCTAAACTTATAATTTGGTGTAATATTAATTAGGGCTGGGCGTTTCGGTTCGGTTCTTCAGAACCGGATCGAACCGACCCGAAAAAACGGTACTTTTTCCGACCCGAAATCGATCTTAATTCCCGAACGGTACCATTTTTAGAGGACCGAATTTTTCCGGAACCGAATCGAACCGAACTTTAAAAATCCCGAAAAATCGAATATTTCTAAAATAAATCTATCCTCTTTTTAATAAAAACCCGGACCGAACCGAACCGATACCGAAACCGAACCAAACCGAATACAATATAAAAGCCGATTGGTACCTATTTTTGTAAAACCGAATCCCGTCCCGAATCCGAACCGTTTTCGAAACGCCCACCCCTAATATTAATTACTGAATTGGTAGGTGCACCTATTTATTCCCGAACTTGTATTTTTTAATACAGTAATTTCTAAACTTACTTGACAGTTTCATAATCGTCTATATCACTAATTGATCAAAGCAAAGTTTAGGAATTACTGTGTTAAAAAATACAAGTTTAGGAATTACTTTGTTCAAAAATGCAAGTTTAGAAATTATTGTATTCAAAAATGCAAGTTCGAAAATAAGTAGGTGCATCTACAAGTTAAAGAATTAATATTACACCAAAATTACAAGTTTAGAAGTTTTCAAATATTTTTCTCAAGTAAACCATATTTAGGTATTTAGGGTTTTAACCTGATATTATAAATCTATATACTTTCCCCAATCCCCTTGTGATTTTGGTTACCAAAAAAAAATATATTCTTCAATGATCGGTGGTCACCTTTTTTATATGAATTCGCATTTATTAAAAAGGTTGATAATCATTGTTTACATATATATAGACCACATATGTCTTGGGAATTATTTATTTTTTTTGAAAAAGGATACATAACCACAAAATATGGACCACATATGTATAATCCAAACTTATACGAAACAAGATGACTTATACCAAGTTCTTGGACCATCATCAATGGTGAAGAACAGGAACAAGTTTGAGAGGTACTTTCTTCAAGACGGTGAGGGAACCGGCTTCTTCAGCATCAATGTCTTTCTCTGTCGTTCCTTCTGGAAATTCCCAATCGAAGAAGTACAGCAAGTTTAGTAGCCCTAACTCGACCGTTGGGATCCCCATCGACATTCCCGGGCAGATCCTCCGACCAGATCCAAACTGTAATAACTCGAAATGTTGCCCCCTGAAATCTATGGAGCTATCCATAAACCTCTCGGGGTTGAACTCATCAGGGTTTTCCCAAAGTTTAGGATCTCGTCCAATCGCCCAAGCGTTGATCTGGAGCTGCGTCTTTGGCGGGACATCGTAACCTTGGATCTTGATGTGAGCCATTGTTTCTCTCGGGAGTAAAAGAGGAACTGGTGGGTGTAACCTGAACGTTTCCTTCATTACGAGCTTCAAGTAGTGAACCTTATCGAGATCTTCTTCCGTGATTCTTTCCTTTTTTCCAAGACAACCTCGGATCTCGTCCTGAACTTTCTTCATAAGCTTTGGGTTTCTTGCGAGCTCTGTCATCGCCCATATCATGGTGATTGCGCTTGTGTCTATTCCAGCTATGAATATGTTCTGATCAACACACACACACATATATATATAAATGGAAATGTTTAAAACCTCATATCAACAAATTAATAGAAAAACAAAAAGGTAAAACATTGTGCTTACCCCGAGAATTGCCTTGATGTGATCAGTAGAGAGCCAGCTGAGAGAATCATCATTGCCTTGTTTCTGAATCGTATTCAGCATCACATGAATGATATCTTGGTGATCGTGTGTTGTTCTTCCAGGCTTCAAATGATCTTCTATCACTTTCTGGAAGAAGGTATCCATTTCGACTTTAACCTTCTCCAGCCTCTTCAGTTGCCCGGACAACCAGTCGATGACCAACCCGACACTGCTGGGGAACAGGTCTGAGAAAGTCAGACGGGTGGTAACGGTCTCGACCTCAAGCACGAGCTGTTCGATCCTGTCCTTATCGATGAACTTGCTCTCTTCGAAATTCACTCCAAACGCAATCTTTAGTATGATACTTGCAGTGACTGAGAAGAGGGCTTTGCTCAAATCCACTGGAGATTGTTTCTCAGCTGATTCAGATAGTTTCTTGACCAGCACGTTACATTCTTCCTCTCTGATGTACCCGAAAGACTGCACCTTTTTCATGCTGAAGACTTCGCGCACAGCCAATTTCCGCCTTTCTTTCCAGTCGGGGCCGTATTCTGTGAAAGCGATATCACGGAAATTGCGGGTGAGCTGTCTTGCGGCCAAAAGCTTAGGTCGGCTGCAACACTCCAAATCATTTGTCTTAAGCACTTCTTCAGCCGCCTCGCTCGACGAGATTATGACAACCGGGGAAAACCCGAAGTGAAGAAGCATCACTGCTCCGTATTTCTTGGAGAGCTCGTGAAGAGATCTGTGAGGCAATTCTCCACCTCCGAGCTGATGCAGGTTTCCGATGATCGGAAGCTTTGGAGGGCTCGAAGGAAGCTTCCATTGCGAGTGTTTGATCTTCTTAACGAAGAGAGAGGAGACGAAAGCAACGAGAAAAAGGCAGATAAAAGCGAAAAAGAATGCCATTTTTTGTTGTATTGTTTTGTGTTTTGGTTTCGGACAAACGTACGAACTGAGCTTTATATAGAGTTGTCGACAATGCATTAATTCTGGTGACGTGTTATTTGCGGCAATGACAGAGGTTGGTTTTCGATCTGAAAACAGCGTTAGATGTTGGGTTGCGGTGTAAGGACGTCAGCGGTGTTATACTTGTAAACCACCGTGTCTCTGATTCTCAGTACACAATGGTGGAAATTGTAATGTAGACTTTATGGATTTAAAAATCCACGTGTTATCTTCTCCATGCCCTCATCAAGCACCCCCTAATAACCTCTTTCAAATTACCCATTATTCTGTTGAACTTTGAAGCTCTTTAATTATATCTTAAAACAAAAGAATGCATTTACTATTTCGATTACGTGGTTTCTTCCTTTCTTATTTTCAATGCAAAAATAAATGTTATATATATATATATATATATATGTGTGTGTACACTGTCATATTTTGGGAACCCTAGAAGTACAAAATGCTAACGAAGTGAACTTCCTACTAATTTTTTTAAAAAAAAACTAAGTGTTTTATTCTAATATGTACATTGAAACAATACTGTGGCACTACCAAATCCGCATCTTGCTACCGAAGAAAACTTGTGCAATATACCATGGACGGATGTAGAATGTTGAGTATAGGATCTAGGGCCGGGCTCGGGTCCTATACTCGGGATAATCGGAGTATTTTGGATTTATACTCAGAAAGTTATGATATCTCATTTTAAGATTTGTTTTCGAATTCGAAGATTATGGAGTATTCAAGATAATTTTCAGATATTAGCGGTTATTCAGATCTGATTTTATTTAATAAGAATGTGTCTATACATATATATATATATATATATATATATATTAAAAAAACTTAGAATTTAATTTTAGAGAGAGATGAAACGCATGATTTTAAAAAAAGAATGAATCGCAGTGAAGGTACGAAGAGAGAGAGAGAGATATAATTGACGAGAGGAGAAAACTGAGTTTAGTGTTCTTGGTAAAATGTTAGAAATGAAGCTAAAAATAAATTATACATTTTAAAATACTATAAATATATAAAGGAGTTTAATTAATTGTTTATAGTAAAAATACCGAGATATTCATAGATATCCATGTCATGAGATTTTTAAAATTTTATAACGAACGCTTTGGTTTTTCTTAATATATTCCGGAAGATAATAGTAAAACGGATAACCAAATAATCTTGTAAAGTTCAACCAATTTGAACCGAAGAGAAAAGTCATTAGTATTTAATTAGGGCATTATTGAAATTAGACAAATCCAACGAAGAAATCAAAATATGGTGCGATTCTTCTTCTTCTTCTTCTTCATCATCTCATTTTTCTGTTGTTTAAATAATAAAAATCTTGGTCATATACATGACAATAATATTTTTCTTAATTGGACACGGTCATTGTGTTCAAAATTCTTGCGGAAGAACTCTCTAGATGGCAGGAACTCAGCACGTGTGGCATGGTCACAAGTCTGCCAACCAAAAATCGAGGGAGGCTTGGGTTTGCGCCGATTGGAGGGCCTTGGCACCATCTTCCGGCTAAAGACTATCCGGGTGATTTTCAAGGAATCGGGTTCTCTCTAGGTAGCTTTGGTAAAACAGCACATATTCAAGAAGAAGGGCACGGGGGAGGGGAGGGTTTCTCCGGTCACAGATACATTCATGTCATCTACAGAAATTAATTCTAGCGACGTAATTTTTTTGTAGCAAAAACGTTGCTAACGAATTGAAACGCTATATTGATTTGCAACGACGAGTTAATAACGAAAATTTTTTCGTTGCAAACCCTGTTTTGTAATGAAATTTGTAATTTTGTAACGAAAATTTTTCATTGATAAAAGACGGTTATTCTGTAGTGCGAGGATGCGTGGCTATCTATTATATCTCCGATCCGCTCTCAACCGAGGCATTAATTAATCTGCAAGTTTACTTTATTGATCTCTTCTTATATTTCTTTTGGTGACATTCTGTACGTTAGGGGTTAGTCTCGGTAAATGATCAGTTTGTAACAAAACAATTTTTTTGGAAGTATTAATTCATTTACCGTTATTACAAAAAAAAAACTACTGACAATATGATTATATATATATATATATATATATATATTAACGAAAAGAATGAAAAAATTTCATAGTTAATCCCACATTAGTCCATGGACCAAACTGAAGTTTGAATGTGTGTGTATGTGTGCGTCACAGAGAGAGCGAGTTGATACAATTTTCTAAATATTAATTCAAAACTGAGAAACGAAGTTAAACCAAAACTACAAAGTTCAAAACCAACAACTAGTTAAACTAAACCGAACATTAAACCGATCACATTAACATTGGATCTCTAATCATTTATAAGTAAAAAATTTCAGAAAATTAAAAAAAAAAAAAAACACTTCAAAAAAGTTTACTTCAAAATAAGACGTGAAGATGATGCATCATGCATGCGTGCGTATATTTATGAAATTATTATATATCAATATATGATCAAGTAGATTAAATTATTATACATATATATATATATATATATATTAAATGTTGATTTTGTCCAACTTATAGATAGATGATCATACTAATCTTTAGTATTCGTCAAATTTAAAAACTCAAATAAAACGCTAACTTCAAACGATTAGCAGTGGATAATACTAATCTTTTGTATTCGTCAAAGTTACAAGTTTTAAACTTCAAACGATTGGAATGGAAGAAAACATTTCATTCACTATATTATTACTCATTCGTTGAATGCTTTTTATTCGTTGATGCCATGATGAAGAAAAAATGTTACCGCCCCATAATTAATTACATATCAATATGTTGTAAAAAGCGAGGATGACGTTAGGAACATTGAACTAATTAATTAACAAACCAGCTCCATCAAACATCCTAATATGACTAATGAATCTCTAAAATTATGATGATTTATGTGTATATATATATATATATATGTATGACCTTTGACCCTTGATTAAATAAAGCACGAGGATTATATATATATATCATGTTTGAGTTTGGTAATGTATATAATTCAATTACGGGAACCGAGGATCAATGAATGGTTATTGAGCCCTAGGCCCATTAATACTATATGTCTCTCTGGCCCATAAATCGTATCTTGAGGCGGATAGCTTCGGTTATTTGGGTTATTAATCCAATGGAATCAAATCAAACCAAACCTAAATCGAACAAATTAAAATTTAATAACTATTTGGTTATGAATTTTCAGAACCCTAAATAATCGAATCCGAAACGAATCCAACCGAATCGTATATATATAT